AGTAATACTTATTTTCAAATATAATTGTACAAAGTTTTATTTAATTATTTTAGTTTTTTATAAAAGTAAATCAGAGCCAAAAAAGTGAAAAAACACAGACAAATTTGTCTGTATTTTATTACAATCTAAGAGATATAAAGACCTAATCAAAATATATATTAAGAAAGAGGAGGAGAAGTAAGCTTTTGATAAAAAAAATCAGATAATAAATAACACTGCTCTAAATGTTTAATAAAAAATAAATATAGAATATAATGACTTAGTAAAGTGATTAAGTTGTTATATTACCAAGTGATATATTAGCAGATGAGATTCAAAACCTACTAATAGTGAAATTTTAAATATTCTGCTTATATAACAGTTACTGTCTTTTGATGATCAGTTGAAACAGAATCTCTGTAACTTTGGGCATTAACAAGATTAGAAGATTATAAAGTATTTGTATAATGTATAAATTATATAAAGGCATACAAGCTGATATTAGATAGTATAAACTTAAAATAAGTTCTTTATGATTGCATTAATTCAAGAAATTAAAAAGATAAATATCTACTTGGCAAGATCTAAGTAGAGATATAGTACAAACTTTCAATAATGATTACTGAAATAGACTTCACCTGAGGCTGGTTAACTAGACATAGCAAAAATATCTGACAAGTTGCTTTACCAACCAGACCACTGGTATAAGCATCAATTAGAAGAAAAAATTGACAAATACTATGATACTGGTGTTCTTTTTGAACTATCTGAATTGGTAGTCAGAAAAATCTAACTAAGTGATACTAAAATAGAAAGTACTAGATTGTTTTGAAAAAAGAATATCAGGATTTAGATGAACTTTGCAAAGGCCAGAGGGTTAGACAATATAATCTGCTTATAAAGGCTTAAAACCTATCTGGCAAACTTATTTGCAAAAAGAATTAACAATATGATCTGCTTATAAAGGTATAAAACCTATCCAGTAATATCTATCTGAAAAAAACTAGGTCAAACATTAAATGTGGGTAACAGAATGGCTTTAGCAAGCAATATACTCAAGACTAAATCAGTTAACCATGCTGGTAGTTCTATAGGTAAGTATACGATAATTCTAAAACTTGGACTAACTAATGTATTACATGTTCTGGATAAGGTTAGATGAATTGGCATAGAAAACTCAGATCAGAGAGTTTAATTGGATAACCCAAATAATAGATGGGTTATAGATACAACATCTAGTATAGAACCTAGTAATAGGCAGACTATTTAAATTAGGCATTCAAAAGGTGCAGGTATGGCTAAAATGTACCCTCGTCAGAATGTACTTGTCTGAGGCCCCTTTGAAAAAGACACCACATGATCCTACAATCTAATAAAAATGACGAGCCAAAGAAGCTAAAATTGACTATAAAAAAAAATAAAAAATAAAAAATAAATAAATAGATTTTACTATTTGTATGTAGTTAACTTATTTTTTATAAAGGTAGTTTATTTCTAATCTCTAAATAAACTTGTTTAAAATATAATTTTATATAGTATAGTATGTATTTATTTTAAAATTGATAAATATACTGTATATTTGTTTTTAATAAAGCTATATTTTCAATAAAAAAATATACAGTATACAGTATATATTTTTTGATTTATCTATAACAAATCCAGCCAGCCGACTTTTGTTTTAAATTTATATATAAAACTTTTTAAAAATTTTACAAACCCGCCCGGTTATTAAAACTTATTACCGTATGTTATCGATTAGAAGCAACCACTGAATAAACGAACCCCCAGATTTTGAAGCCAAAAATTTGACTAAGGTTATGTTATATTAATAAAATTGGACTCGAATAGAAGCAACTCCTTCACTTTGGCTCGAATAATTCTCATTTTTTTTGCACAGTTTGGTTGCTTCTATTCGGTAACATACGGTAAAACAAAAATTTTTCAATTATTTTGCACGGTCTAATTATTAAAAATCATGTGACAAATCGTGTAACTGGTATTAATATTGTACCGTACGTATAAAAAATACGCATATAAAATTTAAAATTGTATTTTTTCTATATTTTTATTGGTTGGATATGTTATATATATAGCAACTAAAAAATTGGCGCCTAGATACGTACGTACGTACGTACGTACATAATATATACGTATGTCGGCTTTAGATAAAATCTACTGTATTAATTTAGAATTGTAAAATTAAAATTTTGATATTTTACCAAAATTTTATGATAACTCACCCCTCATCTGAAAAAAATTTTTATTAATGATTATATGCCTTAAAAAGATTTGGTAACAATGAACAAAAATTTACAGTAGCAAAAAAAGATATGCGTATAGCTTTTATGCAAAACACAAATTTACACCTAGATCTTTTGATTGTTGTCGAAATTCTTACAAATTCCGGATCTGATACAAGAAACTACCATGAATGGACTCATTTTCTTCCAAATATTGTGAAAATCTGTCAATAAGATTAACGGACAATACTCATGACCAACTATTTTTTCTTTGTATTCTCGTTCAAGCTGCGGATGCTAATTCAGGTGCAACAAGGTCGTACGACGTACTATTATGCAAGAGCCCGTTGAACTTTTTTTTTTTTATAGTAAGGTTTTAGCCATAGCTTCATGCAAGAATCGCAAACCTGTTTAAAGGTTACACTGCTGACATTTCACCTATCCATGTATTTCTAGATTTTTTGGATATTTCTGTACAAATCATTATATATATGGTACCCCTAAGCGTAGAAACAATTAAAACTGTAACTTTCGAATATGCTTAATAATAATAACTAAAGAAACAAGAATATACGGATATCAGAAACTTTATGATTTAGTATATAGCTACTAGTTGGGAATGACAACAGAAACTATCTTTAATAAGGTACCAACACACTCTAAGATGCAAACTATCCAAGCTGACCCCCCCTCGGACTCGCTTTTAAGGCAACCTATACTCTACGTAAGCGAGTTACAACACAGTATCGTTGAAGACGAACTGAAAAAGATATTTGCGGATGTCGATCCCGTGAGGTTGGGACTTTATTTAAACTTAAAAATAAGGTTTTTGTGAGCTCAACGCATTTTATGTTACCAAAAATAGGGTTGAAATCCATCGTCAGCCTGGAAGCAATGCGCCTGTAAATGGCACCATTCATTTTTCATCGATAGAAAACGGTATATACTCTAATGCTTTGATTAGAATTAATCTGATTTGTGATCTAATTATCGGTTGTCCATTATTCTCTGCCTTACTTTCGTTGTACTCAGCGGAAAAAGCGTTCGCTATCTACAACAATAAGAAATTAGAGGCATATAAATCGTATATAAAATTACACATTGCTGACCCCACTAATCCTGGTAACGAGCCGCAAAGCGAAGCGTTTATTCTGCAAGTTAAGCATTTGCCGCTAAACACTACAAATGTTATTCTCTTCAATCTCTTTCGGCAATTTGGGCCCTTGTTTTCCGCCAGGCTGCAATATCAGGAACATAAATTTAAGGGATATGCCATGGTACAATTCTTCAGGCAAGATGATGCCAATAAAGCTTTAAATTCTATGGTAATGTATATACACACACATACATACATACACATGTACATACACATATACATTACATATGTTCATACATATATATGTATATGTGCATGTACATAATAATTTTGGCTATATTAATGTCTAATCGATTTGATTTTACTGATTAGCACTGCCATCAGATGGAAGGAAAGACCATGTAAGTTCCTCTTGACAAATTTATTTTATTTTTATTTTTGTTTTATTTTTATTTTGATAATATGATATTCATAAAGTTTCATCTTTTTCATAAACAATACTAGTGTTGTATCACAACTTAATATTAATAATAATAACTCCCGCCCTAGCAAACCTGCGAGTATCCGTACGAACGTTACAAATCCTAATTTATCCGGAGTTGTATGTATTTTATCAGAAAATTATGCGTTAGTAAGTATTGTGATTTAAACTTTCAATTTTGGTTAGGGCCAACAATTTTCTCCTCCGGGAACTTACAATAGCCAACAATCGCCTGCGTCTCCAGGTCCCGAAGGACCTTTTGTGGATCCATGCAATTTGTTTATCAAGAATCTTGATGCTAATATTTCCAGCAGTGACCTTTTCAATCATTTTCGTCGATTTGGTCGCATCATCAGTGCTCGTGTCATGAGAGATCAAGAGACTAACAATTCAAAAGGATTTGGATTCGTCAGTTATACTTCGGCTGAAGAAGCGGATAGGGCCAAGTCATCTATGCATGGCAAGACACTCGGAACAAAACAAATTGTTGTGAGGCTCCATGAGCCCAAAAAATTGCGTGAGGCTAAATTAGCAAACCAATTTAACTGTAGCCCTACTTCTCCATCTGAAAGTCGTGCACCATCCAGGCGTAATTCGGACCATTTTGTCATTAATTCAGCTAACGAATTTGGGCAGGAAGATCTCGCTGGTTTGGCGCCGAAAGCCCGTAGGGAAGTTTTGATGTCAGAACTGCAAAAACGCTTCAAGTATGTTCCCAGTATTCCTCAAGAAGAGGTTAACCCGATCATTGATCATCTATTGAATATGAAAACACCTGAAGTCCTTCACATTCTCAAGGATGCTACCTCTTTGTCACAAAAAGTTTGTATATTATGATTTATCGTATGTTTTAGTTATCGT